CCGTATTTATTACGTGCTGCTAAAGTGAGGGAAACAGTGCAAAGAGGAAAAGGAGGCGAGGAAGAGGAGGAGGGAGAGGAGGGTTGGATCAGAGGAAGGCCGCAGTCTGGCAGGTTGAATCCGGCACCGTGGACATTAGTTGTTTGTGATAAGAGTCTGGGTCATAATGCACGCTTTGTCTGATGTGTATGTACGCTTCACTGGAAAGCTATCTAATCAATTACACTTATGGTAAGTCTGATAAACGCTGACGTGCATTATGAGCACACTGTTGAGATGTCAAATCTGCCTGTTTTACACACTTTGACCAACAGGGGGGTTTGTGTTCAGATGAAGCCCATGATGAAGCCTCATGAGATGAACCCTTTTGCGAACCAATTGGCTGGAAAGCTTCATAAGGCTTCATCTCGCCATCACTACTTAACATTAACAAACTGGGTAGCACGAGAAACAGGAACAAACTTACAGACAGGAACAGGCGGGTAACATGGACAAGAAAGACAACGACCGAACAGGGAGCAAAAGGGAAGACAAGATTAAATACACAGAAGGGTAATCACAGGACAAGACACAGCTGGGCAGGGGAGGCAGAAACACAAGGGCAACAGCTGAACACAATGAGACAATCAGCCACAGGAGGGCAAACACAGGAAGGAAGTCCAGACAGGGAGAAAATAATTTCAAAATAAAACCGGAAACTAAACACACAAAACTAAAATCATGACAGTGTTGTATGGTCCAGAAGTGGAAGAAGCTCTCAAGATGTTTTACTCAAGTAAAATACACACAGTTCACAATCCAAGATGGCAGCACGTCTGTATCTGTCCCTGTCCGCTGTGTCTTCATGTTTGTTCTAGTATTGTCTGCGTGATATCTGTTATCTTTGTAAAACACCAGTCAATATTTGTACAGTTCAACCAGTTGACTTGGATTTTGATTTACACGTTGTTGTGTAACGTTACGGCTAAAACATTCTTGCCTTTCCTGGAGGACTGGGATCACTATCCGCTATATTCCCGGAGCTGAAACGGCAAGCGTTCCGCTTGATTTGGACTTTGGTGGCCTGGTTTCGTCAGGCTAATATTAGCGTAGGGCTTGTGTTCCTGTTTACGTGAGGCGTCTTTTGCGAGTCATCAGTTATCTTGCTTGGATTTTAATGAGATTTTACTTGCTGGAGACTTTAACTGGGACTGGTTGTCCTCTGCCTCCGATAGTTTTAAATCAACCTGTGACTCTTTTAATCTTACGCAACTTATCAATAGCCCAACTCGTCCTAATCTTAAACACCAAGATAAATCGTCTCTTATCGACTTATTTTTAACAAATGCGCCTCATAAGTTTTTGGATATTGGTATTTTTGCAAATGATATGAGTGACCATTGCGCTATAGCTACAATCAGGCAAGCTAAGCTTCCAAAAACAAGACCACAAATAGTTTTTAAACGTGACTTTAAACATTTCTGCGAGCAAGCATTTTTTCATGACCTGTGGGATTTTGATTGGAACAAGATCTCTCTCATTAGTGATGTTGAACTGGCATGGGATTATTTTCATGAGGCTTTTACTAGAATTATAAACAAACATGCTCCTTCCCGCAAACGTAGGGTGAAAGGGCTAAAAAAATCCCTGGTTTAGTCCTCACAGGCAGCTTTCTAAAGGAAAGGGATATTGCCTGGTCAAGGGCCAGAACATTGAAATCCCAAGTGGATTGGATTGTTCTTAGACAGCTCCGAAATCGTTTCACCTTCCTAGTTAAAAAGGCTAAATCTGAGTACTACATTTCTAATACTAATAGTAACTTAAATGATCCAAAGACATTTTGGAAGGTAATAAAAAACTCATTTGGAACAGAAACTAAAATGTAATTACCAGCCTGCATTGTTACAGACTCGCAAACTCTCACTGACAAATCGGCCATTCTCAACTGCTTTAAAAATAAAAAATGGTTTTGCTTCAGAAAAAAAGTTGAGATCCGAGATTTTATGAAAAAGACAGAATTTTGTCAAAGAAAATCTGGAAAAGTCAGAAATCTAACATCTTTGAATTTCTAGATTTTAGACAGAAACCTGAATCTTGAGAAGATGCAGAATTGCTCCTAACACTCTCCAGGTCAATGGTTGGGTGTTTAACAAGTCAGTACTTGTTGTGAATGTGTCTCTTTGGTCAAAACACACAGATATTCATTGAAGACATTTCCAGTTTAATGACGAATCAGAAAGCACGTGATTAGTTCCCAGTGGATTGATGACATGAAAGATGTTTCCATGAATCCCAGCTGTCAAAACATGTTTTTCCCGAAGGGGATTGGTCATAGGTGGACTTTTTTTTTTAGATCTGAACAAAAGATTATTTATTTCTGAACTTGCAATTTTCTGAAAAAAGTATGAATGAAAAAACCCCACTTTTGATCAGATCTAAAAACTAATTAAGTGACACACACACACACACACACACACACACACACACACACACACACACACACACACACACAGACAGACAGACAGACAGACAGACAGACAGACAGACAGACAGACAGACAGACAGACAGACAGACAGACAGACAGACAGA